GCTATTCTCCAAAGCACCTGAGGTCAGAACCAGAAGCAATGGGAGGAAACTAATCAAGGAGAGAAGCAACCTAGAACTAAGGAGAAATTACAGTTCTGACAGTTAGAACAATTAATCAGTGGAACAACTTGCCTCCAGAAGTTGTGAATGCTCCAACACTGGAATTTTTAAGACGTTGGCTAGCCATTTGTCTGAAGTGGTGTAGGGTTTACTGCCTAAGCAGGGAGTTGACTAGAAGACCTCCAAGGTCCCTTCCAACTTCTATTCTATTCTATTCTATTCTATTCTATTCATATTATTGCCAGAAAAATGTCCCTGGTACTTTCATGAAGCTATCAGGAAAAGATATTGACTTGAAGGGGACTTCACTTTTTAATCAATATCAAAACACATAGTGCAGGATCCCACAGATGGTTGGTACCCATGGCTCCAATTGGACATTTCATTTCTTCATGGCACGATCTCAAAATGAGGAAACTGAAACAGGAGGGAAAGAAATATTGACTTGAAAATATCAAGTCTTAAGCTGTTGTTCAATGAGGCACTGGGGAATAGCCAGAAGGAACTGTGTGAATTCTAGCAATCACTACTATCCAAGCCCTTTCCAAACTTTTTATTCTATTTTTTTTTTTAAAAAAAGAGATCTCAATCCTTGCATTGGGGCAGTAGAAACTTCTTCTTTGGGCTTTTCCTTGGCAGGTAATGGGAAAAATGACCCACTCCTTCATTTCACTGTCCTGAAATTATGTGAAAGGTGCGAAAAGGATCAAGGAAGTGTGATTTGAGATGGACTGGAATAGATTTCTCTCTTGGAGCAAACCTCAAATACTTTCCCTCATGTTTTGTATTTTTGAATGTGCTTGCATGTCTTTTATGTTGATCCCATTTCCAATAAAAAGGCACAATAAAAAGGATGCGGTGGCTCAGTGGCTAAGATGCTGAGCTTGTCGATCAGAAAGGTCAGCAGTTTGCCGGTTCGAATCTCTAGTGCCCTGTAACGGAGTGAGCTCCCCTTACTTGTCTCAGTTTCTGCCAACCTAGCAGTTCAAAAGAATGTAAAAATGCAAGTAGAAAAATAGGAACCACCTTTGGTGGGAAGGTAACAGCGATCCGTGACCTTTCAGCATTTAGTCATACCAGCCACTTGACTTCTTCGGACAGCGCTGGCTCTTTGGCTTTGAAACGGAGATGAGCACCACCCCCTAGAGTTGGAAATAACTAGCACATATGTGCAAGGGGAACCTTTACCTATCTTCTCTTAAAAGAACAACATATTACCTCTAGGCTTGCCTCAGACCCCATTTTTATGGGGAATATTATTTAGAAAAATCCTTTGAAAGAGTCACAACAACCGACACAATGTTGATTAAAGAAAGAACTCTGTTTTAATAGGGANAATTTTTAATTTTTTCGTCGCGCTGTGATGACGTCAAATGCGTGCTTTCGTCGATTGCGCTTTTGTGGACCGCGGTTTTGACGGGTCACGGTGTAATCTTCTTCTTTCTTCCTTATTCTTAGATAAATCTTCTATCAAGATACCACATACTGGGCTATTTTTTTTTTAAAAAAAAGAAGAAGAGAGAATAAGCTACTCAACTGATCAACGGCAGTGTCTTTTCTTTCAGCATTTTTGTGAAAGAAGTAAACTCTCTTCTTCTGTAGGATTCAGCCTTTCTCGTTAATTCTACAGAAACCCCATTTTAACCTACCCAAAAAGCAAGGGCAGGATTGGTGTGGGAGAGGATTTCAGGGGCAGTCAGTGAAAAATCAGGGAACATTTTGTGCATCCATTATGGATACAGAATTGGTGATCTATTTTCCTAAACAAGTTGCAGCCTTGCTGAAGTGCTGCGTGTGTTGCCTTGTGTTAACCAAGGCTTCCCAAGCTTATAGTAGTGTTCTTTTGCTTGACAATTTGCCTCTGCTGGGAATTTGTAAAAAAATGTAAGAAAAATCCCCGCTGGGTTCGAACAAGCCCTTGTAGTCCAACATTCTGTTTTCCAGTTGATTGTTTGCGGGAAGCCACACGCACAACGGGAGTGCTGCAGCTTCCACCCACTTCTGTTCCCAAACTAATAGTGTTGTAAAATTGACTGCTTCTAATGCTGGAGTATCTTTACATCCAACATAGCTAGGGGCCATTAATGGTGTCCTCTATAAACATGGCTAATGCACACATTCAGAGTTTTTTCTATTGCACGATTACAATGTCATTGATGAAACAAAGTCCTCACCAGACTGTAATTTGCTGCTGTTCTCCTGCTTAATTCTTCACAAAATCCATAGTTTGGCTACCCTGGATTTGCTGTCCATATGAATATAATCTCAAGATTCCTTGTTAAAGTATCCCTGAATTTCTTGATTAATATGGTAGAGAACATTCAGTCTTGACAACTTCACATTAGTGCATCAAATGCATCAAGTACACGAAATCTTTTCACAAACTTAAAAATGTTCCTCTTAGTCCCCAAAATATTGTTTTTTTTAAGCAGCTGTGAATTATGTTCATTCACAGCCCATAATGATTCACAAACAGTTTGTAAAGAGTCCGACACATGTCTGCTCGAGTTGACACCGTCTTTCAGGGTAATGTTGATGAGCATCCACCTTTATCTCTCTTGAAACGCCAATTGGTTTTGCCAGACCAAACGGAGCACAGAATCAAACAGGACTTCTCAGAGCTTGAACCAAGTATATGAACTAATTGCTTCCTGCAAAGGCTCACTTCTGTTTGCTCCTCTTTTATATCTTATGGGAGGGGCCAATCATCTCCAAGCCTTACTTCCAAGACATCCTTGTTGTCTTAACTGTTCTTGCCTTCTGGCAGCTCTGCGCATGCGCACACTGGGTTCACACTGTTCTTTTGCCTGGCTGATGTCAGACAACGGGGGCTCTGGAGGCAGCACATAACTACCAGATGGCCCTGGCTCCCTCTTTGCCTCCGACCCAGAGCCCTCATCAAAGCCTTCCCCAGACTCCAGGACTGGCTCATGTTCCTCTCCTACGTCCTCACTGTCCAACTCTGCTGCCAGTTCCGATTATCTCCAAGGATAATCTTCCACTCCTATTTCATAAATGAATGGAAAGTCCTGGAGGAAAATAATTGTACTTATAAACACACTACCGTATCTACTATGCAAAGAGTAAAAGAGTCTATCCATGGCAGTCAAAAAGAAAATAGAACCATGCACATTTTTTAATTCCCAGTTTTTACATTTATTTATAGAACAATCATAAAATCCAGAAGGTTCACTTGGGTTTCCTGCCTCTATAGAGGATTTTTCATTATCAGAAATAATTGATAAATATATCCAGAAAAAAATCAAGTCGGCTGTTGTGTGGTTATATGGTGGTAAACACACCCCATTATAAATATAATAATGTAGAACAGAAGTCTACTGCCTGAGGCCAAGGGCCATACAAGTAAGTAGCTCCATGCAAGTTTTGGGCTCAAGCTCCAAAACTTGTAATAATCTAAAAAAAAAGTTCTAAAATTTGTTGCAATTGTAATTTTTATTGTGATTGGAGGGTTTATATGAAATAATTTGATAAATACTATGATAATTAAATCATACAAGCTTCATTTAAATTGATGTAACTTTACTTACATTAAAATTAAATTGTTATGGCCTCATCAGAGCTTGGGTTCGAGGAGGAGGAGGAGACGGAGTTAGGGCTGACAGCAGTGGTGAAATTCAATTTTTTTACTACCAGTTCTGTGGCCATTGTCACGTTCCGGCGTTCACTTTGAAAACAGAGAGTCAGTTTGTGTAGTGAAGAACTTTATCTCTGCATAAGAAACTATGTGATAACAAGCACTAAATGATTATGATAGAAAGGTAAGCAAATCCAAGTCAGTTCTAACAAAGTTAACACCATCACTGTATATATACCATTACCCCGCCCAGTTCCACCCACAAATCCACCCAGATGAACAAGCGGGTGTGGCATTGGTGGCGGCTGGGCGGGTACGCTGTTGGCGTCGGCATGGAAGCCCTCACTGAGGTCTGGAGGCAGCGGCGCCACAGAAAAGCCACTGACAGCTACCCCGCGAATGTCAGCATGAGGGCTGACAGGCGTGGCGTGGTGGGCATGGTATGGCTTGGTGGGCGTGGCAGGGGAAGGATCCTGAAAAATCTCCATTCCCACCCCATTCCAGGGGAATGTTTTTGCAAAATCTCCATTCCCACCCCACTCTGGGGCCAGTCAGAGGTGGCATTTGCCGGTTCAGCTACCGGATCTACAGAACCTGTCAGAACCTGCTGGATTTCACCCCTAGCTGACAGAGGAATGACCGGAGGAGCAGGATGAAGCAGTCCCAGGTCTCTTGGGCCTGGGAAGGGTCACCAACGAAGGAGAGACAGAATAGGATGACCAAGCAANCCTTGGCACGGCTTTACATTTTAAAAAGGTGACAACAGAATCATAGAGTTGGAAGGCTGTGTGCAAGTTCCAACTTCCTGCTAGACAGGCAGGAGACCCTCCACTCTTCCAGACAAGGGGTTGTCCGGCCTCTTCTTCAAAGCCTCCAGGGATGGAGCCTCCACAACCTCCGGAGCGAAGCTGTTTGCCCACTGGTTAATCGTTCTCACCGTTATGAAAGTTCCTCCTTCATTCCAGGCGGCTCCTCTCCTTCCATTGTCTCTCGTCCTGCCTTCTGCTGCTTTGGAGGGCAGGCTGACCCCCCTCTCGTCTTTATCACAGCCCCTCAAAATACTGCAATGCTGCTGCCATGCTCCCCCAGACTAGACACACCCAATTCCTGTAACTGTTCTTCGTGTGTTTTAGCCTCCAGACCCTTCATCATCTTTGTTGCTCTACTGGAGATTGGGCAGGTGAGAGATGGGACCTCCAACCACATGAGGTTTAGAGAGCGGAACTCAGCAATTATCGGCACAAGGGGCCACCTTGTCCCCCTCCAGGAACTGTTCACAACAGACACACACACACCAGCTTCGCCATCTCCTGCCAGTCCCCCCCCAGATCCTCCCATTTCTTACCCGTCTCCATCCAGGTGGATCTTCGTATCGCTCCACAGACGTAACACCATCCCAATGGTACAACTCTGGCTGTCGGGAAAGAGGGACGGGAGGTCCAGGGCTGCTGGTGGGGCAGAATTGTGGGGGAGGGAGCCAGCCCTGTTCTTCCAAGGATTCCCCCAGGGCTTCACCCCTCCTCACCTCTCCTTGCTGGAAAAGTCCACGCCCAGGAGAATGTTCTCCTCGGTGTCTTGGCGCCCAGTGCTGTAGACGACCACCATGTACCTCACGCGATCGCTCCAGGCACTTTCTAAGCGCACGGCCTAAAAACCAGCAAGGCAGTTCTCAGCATTCACCCCTTGGGACAAATCACTCTTTAGCTACGTATTAGTTTAGCTAGGGACGGTTCTGGCAAGACAAAAAGAAGAGGGTTTAATTCAATTTTCTCCAACCCACCTGGTGCCCTCTTAAATATACGTTTGGACCGCAGCTCACACTGTCTTCCAGGCGGCACAAGGCAGGGGAGGGCAGCTGGGAATTATGGGAGTTCTAATCTGATGCCCCCGGAGGGGACCAGGCTGCCTTCTTCAGATCCAGAGAGAAGGTCTCAGTAAAGGGAGAAGAAGGCCAGATCCCGCTATCTAAGTGATGTTCTTGAGATCTTCAAGCAGGAACGTCAGCGAGCCCATGCTTTGATTTCCGGAGACCAAGGACACTCACAACCAACCGTTGAGGAGGAACGATGGTTGGGGATACCCTGCTTCCAATGCTACTTTGATTGACAGGAGTAGCTTTTCTCTTCATAGATCTACTCTAGGCTCCCAAGCAACTCCTTTCGCGAAGGTTTGATCTACTGGGACGAGAGCACTGCTGTGTGGGGCAAGACCGAGACAAGGGTTTGGCAGGTCCTCTTACCAACTTGATTCTGTCCTCACAGCGAAGGAGGTTGATCATCACCTGGAGGTGCTGCGGCAAATCCCCTGCGGATGCACAGGTAGCAAAATCGTCAGGTGCGTCTCCTAGGACCCGTTTCCCAGCCAGCTCTCCCTCCTCCATCCACCCCTGGTCATTGGCATAGCCCAGTCCCCTGTGACACTGTTTCTCAACCCCTGGCAAGGTGGATGGACTTCTGGGAATTCTGGGAGTTGGAAGTCCACCCATCTTAAAGTTGTCTGACGTTGATGACCTACCATGAATCTCAGGAAAAGTCATAAAGCTATCTCGCTTTTGCTGTCTTATCTCTCTCTCTCTCTCTCTCTCATCTATCTATCTATCTATCTATCTAT